GTGAGTATGAAACCATTAAAGTGTCTCTGTCTGTGTCTGTGGTGTGGGGAGTATGAGGCTGGAGTTAGGGAGTATGTAGGCCTACTCATGACATTTTAATTCAGTGTTCGGACTTAATGTCAAAACAAATAATCACATATCCTTTGTTGTTTCCTTCATGTTTAATCATGCATGTTTAGGCCATCTCCTTCTCAAGAGCTCATAATGCTCAGTTCAACATTGTGATGTCGTAAGTACTGTTGTTGATAGCTTTTTTTTTATCTGATCTGACTGATCTTGACCTTTTTGTATTCACCAACACCGATACCAGTCTGATACTACACAGTGTGGAGTAGACTAAAGCCCAATTTATGGCCATGCATCAAATCGTCTGCGTCGTCTTGAACCCCCTCTGCAGACCGTTTGCATCGACTGATGTGCATGAAAATTTTGTTACTGTACTACTGGTCAAAAGTTTTAAAACACTACAGTTTTTCCAGTTTTTTCCAGTTTACTGTAGCACAAATGTATTCTTAACTTTTGATTCATGAAAGTGCCCACCTTTGGCAGATATAACAGCTGAACACACTCGTGGCTCGTTCTTTTTACAATAGAAATCAAATATTCTTCAGAAAGTTCTTCCCAAGTCTGTTGCAGAAGTTCTCATAAACGTGTGGCACTTGTAGGTTGTTTGTCTTTCACTCTTCTGTCCAGTTCATCCCAAGCTTTACCATCCTGTTCTTTTTTCCTGAGGTAGATTTGGCAGAGCTTGGACTTGTGTTTTGTATCTTTTATTTTTTTAAAATTAGGGTGTTCTAAAACTTTTGACCAGTAGTGTACGTGTTGAACTGGCACAGACAGTAAAGAAAAGCGACGCAGACAATAAGGGCTGTTATTGGTCCGCTCTACATGCATTTCCGGTACTCCGCTTTCCCGCTTCATTTCATGTACACAAACACCATTTTTAAATCCTAGCCTCCTAGTGTTGTGAAGGTGAATTACTTCGCAGCGCATAGATCTTGATGCAGTGTGTTTTGAGTCGACGCAGAACTATAAATGCGCCTCAAGGCTACCAAATTTTGTAACAATGCAAGAGCAAAAAGAAAATCTACTAAAAGGCTATGTCTAAAGAAAAGTGTTTAGTCTGTTTTAAGTGTCTGCAAAGCCTCCACAGTCTGTATTTAACCTGCTCTTATTAGCGGTAACATTAGCCACAAACATCAACCGCAGCTGCTCGCATCCACGGTAGGGTGACCAGACGTCCATATTTCACCGGGACAGGCCAAGTTTTGAGCCCTGTAATGAGAAATGTCCCAGGTGTCCCTATTTTTGACCCACTTGTTATCAGCCAACAATAAAGAGGGGAATATATTGTTATTTGTTCAGCTAAAATACAAAAAAAAGTGATTGAAAATTGACCCTAAGGTGGAAAAATGCACTTAGTTGCACCAACAGAAGTCTCTTAGATTCTATAGTGGCCAACAGGTGAGTCGACAATGTTACACGCTCTTTTCACTGCTTTATTTATACCAGCCATGCCAACCCAGTTTTGAATTTTGAAAATCCGGTCACCCTAATCTACTGAGCTTCATTCAGGAAAAATACAGAGTGGCATCGGATCTGTGATTTGATCTGAGTACTCGCCAACTCACCTGAAAAATGTGTGGTCTCTGAGCTTTTCCCAATACTAGTACTGGTATCGAAATGAAATAAGGTGGTTATCCAGAAAGTGCTACTCATAAGTCAGTTTTAAAGGTGGACTATGTCATTTTTAAGTTTTTTTTTTTTACGGCAGATGCTCATTAGCCAGGCTGGCGCCACCTAGTGCCTCCGCTCAATTTCACTTCTCTCCAGCAACTAGGTCAGGAATCAGAATACACTAAACGGTTTGCAGAAAACCCCGGAAGTCGTAAAACGCGTACTGGCCAATCAGCGAAGAGCTGTGAAGCCATGACGACAAACTCAAGCGTCTGTCTGGGTCCCTTTTGTGTTACAGCACAACAGTAAACAAAGCGGTCGAGATGGATGTAGACGAAGACAGACATTCTGTGTTGGCAACGATTCCCAAGATGGAGGATTTAAAGCTGAAACAAAGAGAATGTTTGGTAAATTATTTCAAGGGGAAAGAAATCTCCTACGAGATTTGGCACATTACATACATCACAACCAAATAGCAGCGATAGGTTAAATAAAAAAAGTCAAACAAACCGTCAAATGAACGAATCCTAATGTTGCAAGGTCAGACGGTTTCCACAAAGTGAAACCGGCTGATGAAATAGGCTAAATGCTCATCTCCATAAAGAGGTTTTAGCTTGGTCTCTCCACAGATCTGACCTGTATCTTGTCGATAAATTTAATGCCTTACTGCAGTAACATCTCCATGCAGACCAGTGTTGTGACGACACTTGATTTCGATACTAAGGAATAGATTTGATACAAAATACCGATTCTGATTCCAACTTCTTAAAAATTACCATGTGGTCTTATATCTGTGTAATCCCTCATTGGTCCAAGTATGAATGTGACTTTTTTAGTATCAATATTTGCTCAAAGATGTTAGTTTTAGATCGATTAGTATGTGATTTTTAATACTTTTGACAACCCCAGTTTTCATTGCGTATAACTTAATCTATAAACTGTGTGAAAGTGAACCAACTTTGTTCTTAAAGTTAAATAAAACTCCATACAGTGTTTCCATTTAATTAAGGCGGTGCATTGTAAATAGACTTTTGGATTAACAGCAGGTCAAATAAAATTGATTTTGTTACAAGTTCCAGTGGAGCCTTCTTACATTGTTGTGCTAAAGTGAATGAGTTTGGACAGCAGAGGACGTGGTTTCAATTAAATTCTCATGACTTAAACTTGAGGAAAAGAGAAAACAGCTGTGACTAATAAATGCTAACACTGTCCAGACTGTTTATGTTAGTCACACCATTCACAACCAGGAGTCAAAGGGTTAAAAGCACTTATGGCAGCTGTAAGTATCAAAATAACACGCTCTGTCATACTCAATTACAAATCAATTATTATAGTATCCATCTCCATACAGGGTGATACATGAAGATATATAATTACTCCAGTTTAGAGAAGATAACTATACTTAAAGGTCATATATGTGAGTTTTATGCCACGTTATAATGCTGTTACCTTCTCAAAAACATTTGCAGGATTTGTGTGTTAAACGTGTGTGAATGAAACAAAACACAACTCCTGGTATTCGTCAGGGCAAAAAGAGGTTTGCTCTCACGAAGACCATCTTGCTGGTCGAAAAGCGCTGGCGTCCCTTCATGCAATAAAGGACTTTTAATATATTCAGTCGGAGTGAATTGGGTTTGTACCTTGCCCACTTTTACATTTTCCAGTAAGCCTCAAAGAGCACCTGTACTGTTATTTTTTAAAACTCTTTTCTGACCCAGTGAAGTGCTCTACCTCTTTTCTTCGTCTGACAGCTCCAGGTACGTTTGTGGATGAGAAAACAACATTAACTCTTTCATTTGATGACCCTCCCTGAACCCTTAATGACGACTTTTGACACCTCCGCTGTATCACTTAAGACGTGATTTGACGACCTTTAGAAATGGCTCGGTTTTTCACATTTAAACAGAGACTGCGATAGGTGGGGGCCACTACAACCCACACTAGGCTGACCAATAGGATTCAAGGATATGTTTTTGCAGATTTTTTCCAAAGTTAATCGAAGTAGTGACGATTGTAGCTTCCGGAAAAAACACAACATGAAACACGTGCAATGGAAAGATTGCGCTGCGGCGCACAGTTTTAGAAATAATCAGGAGCGGACGTATTTTATGGATAAGTTTAGAGAAAGTGACTTTTATAGATTTCAAAGTGATGATGAGGGTGATTATAAAGTGGAAAACAGCGATAGCGACAGACTTACAGAGAGTGAATCTTACGAAGATGAAGATGCGTCTGTATGGAGTCCTGCGATGTCCGAACAAACTATCCGGGCTTTATACTCGATTATGAACCAAAATTGCCCTGAAATCACTCGTGGAAGTTTGTTTTCTTTTATGCAATTATGCTCTATGGGCAGCCCTAGTAACATATGTATGGGTTGTTCCTAGTAGGCGTCCAGGGGGAAAGAGTTAAAACATTGTTATAAACCAGTGCTAGGGACAACACAACAATATGTAACACAAACAAGATGTGATGTAATATAAGTGGCTTTTATAAAGTAAACATAAATACCGTATTTTATGTGCTATTAAGCGCTCTGGATTATAAGACGCACTGTCATTAAATGGTCTATTTTCGAACTTTTTTCACAAATAAACCGCACCGGACACACAACAGTTGGATGGGTCAGTGGGACTTTGTTTTGGTTCGTTCACAGTGACTCTGGGCTTTGTTCAGTTGTGGCGTGTAGGGAGGGTGCTGTCTGAGACCGCTGGATTGTCGGCGTGTTTGCAGTGACTCAGTTGTTCAGTTGTGTCTAGAAGCGGCACATTGCACTGCTTTTTTGGTTCCTTCCTCCGTTCCGTTCCTCGTTGGCGTGGAGTGATGAGTGTGTCTGTGGGTGTTTTTCGCTGTGCGGTCGCTGTCTGCTCCGTGTGTGTTTGTGTGCGCTGCGACTGGTGCGGCTTTGTAGTTTACTGAAGTCGTGCTGGGACACCCGAGTGGATTCGTGTATGGGGCGCTCTGGATTGAGGGGCGCGCAGTCGTTTTTTTGATGGGGTTCGAGGCTTAAGAGTGCGCCTAATAGCCTGGAAAATACGATAAATATAATAACAGAAAAGAAGAGGTTTTTCATAAAATAAATCAAACTTTCCAAATATAACTAAACAATACCTCTAATGGGTTAAGTATGAATTAAAAGAAAATACACATACCCAAATAGCCAAAGTAGGAATTACAAAAAGAAACTATAGGTCAATAGCGACCCCTAGAGTCTCACACATTTCACAGTAACAATAGAATGCAACAAACACACATCTATCATCGAGTGTGGCGAACTGAAACTGACATCCAGCCACCCAGAGGGACCACAGCACTTTTATTGA